CCGGGGGTGGGGGGGGGGGCAATGGGGAGACATAGGTCAAAGGGTACAAACTTTCAGTTTTTAGATTAATAAGTTCTGGAGCTCTAATATACAGCACGGTGATTATAGTTAACAATACTGTATTATATAACTGAAAGTTGCTAAGAGAGTAGGTCTTAAATATTCTCACCACACATACACAAAGATAACTATGTGTTAGCTAACTTTATTGTGGTATTCATTTCACAATATATTCATATATCATCTTAAACTTACACAACGTTACTTGTCAATTACATTTCAACAAACCTGGAGGAGAAAAAAATTGAGGCAGCTCTACAATCATCCATGCGTTCTTTCTACGGACAGATCTCCCGGGCCCGCTATATGCTGCTACAGAGGCTGGGTTAAGCGGGGAACAAAACCAAGTCACTGCCCTCCGAAGCGTGCACCTGGGTGGGGCAAGATGACAATAAGCAAGACAAATAAGTAAAATGCTGAGCATGTTGTGGACACTGTGATGGACACTCTGGCACCAAGTAAGGCATTTACTGTCTGGGATTGAAGGGGTTTGTAATTGTAAGAAGAGCGTCAGGGAGGGCCAAACTGAGAAGGCAGCTTAGAGTAAAGATGTGAAGGAGTGAAGGAAAAGATGGGAATATGTGGGGGCAGAGCATTCCAGACAGAAGGAAAAGAGGGCACTGCAAGTGCAAAGGCCCTGGGGCAGGAGTGTACTAGATGTGTTCAAGGGAAAGCAAAAAGGCCTGTGTGCCTGGAGCAACATGAACCCGGGGAGAGAGTGGGGAGAAACGAGGACAGAGAGGTAGGTGAAGGGCAGGCCCACAGGCTGTCAAATTTGAGTTCCTTCTATCATAACTCTATTTATAGAGATATTGGGTACAAACTTTCAGTTATAAGATGAATAACTGATGGACCACCTAAGGATATTGATGAAAGGAAGACAAGGAACAACTGAGTGCATAGCAGATGGCACATGGAGCATAAATATCTCTGGAAAAACACTCAACACACTGGGGCAAATAGTTGTTTCTGGGTGGAATAGGAATCAAGAGTGGGAGGTAGACTTAATTTTCACTCTATAGTATCTCCCTCTTCCTTCCTCTCTGAAATCAATAAAAATAATATATTTTTTAAAAGAATGCAAATTCTCAAGAATGGCTATTTTTGTTGTTGTTTAAAAAGTACATTAAGCTCTAGCTGGTTTGGCTCAGGAATGCAAATTCTCAAGAATGGCTATTTTTGTTATTTAAAAAGTACATTAAGCTCTAGCTGGTTTGGCTCAGTGGATAAAGCGTTGCCCTACGGACTGAAGGTTCGATTCCAGTCAAAGGCACATGCCTCGGTTGCGGGCTTGATTTTTTGTAGGGGGTGTGCAGGAGGCAGCCAATCAATGATTTTTCTCATCATTGATGTTTCTATCTCTCTCCCTCCCTCTCCTTTCCTCTCTGAAATCAATAAAAATATATTTTTTAAAAAAAATAAATAAAAAGTACATTAAAACTTGCAGTTTTAGCTTCCTGCACCCTTCCCCTATCACAGCTTTCTCCAACTTCATGAGAAATTATCCTGAATTATCCAAACCCCAAGCATTTCTTTACATTTTTACTATGTATGTATATATTCCCTAACTCATATGTAATACTGTTTTGCATATTTTTATAATTTATGGAAATTATATACTGCCACTTGCTTTTTATAATTTATGGAAATTATATACTGCCACTTTGCTTTTTTGCTCAACATCATCCCTATGACATTTATCCATCAATTCTATTCTGTTGATTGACACCTAGGTCGTTTTTAGGTTTTTCCATTATAAACACCGCTCTGAACACAGAGGTAGTCTTTATTATTCACTAAATTAGCGTATATTGCCTCTATTATGCATCAGGCACTTGGTTTTGCCTCTTTTAATAACAATGACCTGTCCCAGGTGTTATTATCCCCATTTTACTAATGAGTTATTCTTGCCTGCTCTACTCCTTCACCCCAACCCAGTCAACCACAGGGCACAATTGATTCTGCTTCAGGAATCTGGCTCAGCTCCGTCCCTCACCACTGCCACCATCACTAGTAGCATTACCTCAACTCAGGAGCTTCCAGTTGGTCTCACTGCTTCCCTTTGTTCTCTGAGATATGTATTCCACAAAGCCTCCTAGCCTCTCGAGACACTATCCTATTTAAAACTCCACACTCCATTGGTTTCCCACAGCTCTTAGGATAGAATCATCATTCCCACCAGAGCCTCCAAGGCCCTCCTACATGGTCCCACCTCTCTGATCGTCTCTCAATCTCACCCCTGCACCTGGGCTGCACTGGTTGCTTTCTGTCCCTCAAACCATCCCCCATTTCTCAGTCCTCAGGACTCTCACGCCTGCGGTTCCTTGTGTGGAACCCTCTCCCCCAGTTATTCCCCAGGTTAACTCTATGCTGCCTCCATCACTTCCCTCGAGGAGGAAAATCC